TGAATGGATGGATAGGATGAGACAATAACGCGTTCACTTGAAGTATTCAATACAATGCTGTGATTAATAGGAGATACCAATAGTTAAATGGATGGCGAACTCGGGTTCTGTGAGGCATCACATCATTATTGTAGAGACAAACCACTCTATGTTTAGAAATGAGATGAATGTTTGATATTTAACTAAATATATATTAAGTTTTGCTCACAGAATATATATTGTATAATGTTTTGGGAACGACTGATCCGTTGAACAAATAATAACTGTATAAATGAATTAATTTTGCTTTTGATATAATGAATGATATATTGATTGCGAAGACTGAGAGACAACGGCTGATAAGTCACAGAATCAGATGCGAAACCAAAGCATAAACGCATAAAAAGGCCATATTTTTGTGTAATTTGATGATCGATTACATTAACTGTTCATTTGATTACATCTTACAAATCCGATTAAATAAATGTTTGGATTTATGCAAAAATAAAACGATAAGACAATCCAAATCCGTGTCATTTTGGGAACAGAATCAATGATTCGGACCATCGATTCCATGATAATACTCTCGATTTGTCAAATGCGGGCATTCCTTCCGGACCACAGAATCACTCAAGAATTGGCTCTCAATATATCTATTGATATTCTATGAGAGGAAACCATTAATATCTATGAATAAAAATGGATTTTTAAAAATATTTCAATAAAAATTTATCTAATATTTAATTTTCAAATCATTTATTACATATTTTACTCGTTTTCACTGTAAAGCAACACAAATACGATTGAATTTATTACTTTGTTTGTAAATCGGTTGAATCACATATCGTTTTAATCAAAACTCTCATTGGTTTTGAAATCTTTGTTATTAACGTTATAATAAATATAAGCCAAGAATTTTGTGTTACTTTACGGTGAATGACATTAAAACAAATTAATATACATTCAATTGTACCAACAAATATTTTAATTAATAATTAATTTTAATAAAAAAATTGTTATGATTTTAAAAATTAGTTTATATGAAATAATAATATATTTGTCCCCAAAAACGATTTATTCATTTGTCTCTCATTATATTTTATTAAATCAATTTACACAACAAACCTTATTATTATATTTTTGAATATTTTATTATTAAATTAAAAACCATTAAAACCTTAATATATGAAATAATATGTCTAAATTTAGATTTAGAGCCAATCAAATGAGTTATAAATTCTTAAATTTTAATTTTTAAATTAA